TCGACATTTTATATTACCTCGGTCTTCCTTTTTACGATATATAATATTGTTTTGGAAAAGAAAACAATTTTAATATGCTTTTATATTTATATTTTTATTTTAAAAAAACGAACAAAAAACAAATTTTTTAAACGCCATTCCGTGTGCTTGAGTTTATTTTCCATATTTTTCGCCGATATATTTTTACGCGCGTATGAGCGTATTTCGACATGAACTTACATTTTCTTTTTTCTTTTCCAGGACGGCTGGAAAAAAATGAGGAAGTTTATGAGAAGCCGAAATTTTCATTGTACCTTTTCTTTTTTTACTATGTTGTACCTCGGTCCCATATAGTTAGGAAAGACGACCAGACGCTGCTAAACCTGGAAAGCTACTAGAAGAGTGTTTACCAACGACAAACTCGTTGGGTTTAAACCTCTGGCTGGCCACGTCTTAGGGTCATCACTACCCCACTAGGGGGGGAGTGATCTGTAGCGGTAAATAAATCCCCAAAATAAATAGCTCTGTAAGTTTTCGACACTGGATACTGACCATATGTTTTAGTGGACTCACCTAGCTGAAGGCGCTCGGTCATGCATCCGTACCAGATCACGTGTGTGAACGCCGTGCTCAACACCTACCGCAATCGCTAGCCAGATTAGATCAGAGAACTCTGATATATTGGTAATCGCCAAATATACTCTTCGGATCTCCTCGACTCTGTCTTTTGATTTCTCTTGGTGGGTACGAATTATATTAGAATGTGTTGCTGGTATAAGCGTTGTCAAACACTGAATACCTGTGTCATCTTCAATGTCTAAAATTACTGGTTTCTGAATGATCATCAGAAACTAGGATTGCGTTTTGTCCAAGCTCTGCCACGTTCATTCAGCACATCCAGCAACTCCTGCTGACTTCTTTACAGTCTTTTATTGGAACTAAAATTATGGAACAAAAATAGATAACTGTAGTAGTAGATCCGAGTTATGTGTCATGGTTTATCGTATGCACCATGAATGATTAAGAATGCTCCAATTGGTTCATTTGATCGTTTGCTTGCTCGTGTGCCGCATTTTTATTCATTTTTCATGTGTTGAAATAGTACTATTGATAACATCATAGGTTGGCTATTTTATTATGGCTAGTCGAGTTCGCTGATTTATCACTGTCTGGTTGAAAGAGTAAGCGTGGTGACCGGTTATCTTGTTACTTTTGAAGTAAGGAACGCACGAAGTCCGAACCCAGTACTCTTATTTTTCTAGTCATCTTACACTTTAGACACGTGGGAGCGTACACAGTTTCTACGAGTTAAATTCACTGTGTCTCAATGAAACTCCTAATTCATTATTGGAAACTCAGAAAATGTCCCTTCATCTTTCCCTTTACAACTGAATTTAGACATCATTGGTGTTGTTTTTTTCAGGAAAAACATTTGCAATGAAGCACATTATTCCAGAAACGTCTTATTATATCGAGTAGGTCGAAATATTTAGTCTAGTTAATGCAAGTCACGAGTGAATTTTTTGTTGCATTCTGACTTGAGTGAAAGCATTAACTATGTGTTGTCTGCGAATACAGCTGCATTCCAAATTTCACGAGTCAAACCGCTAGAATACAACCCAATACATAAATAAAAAGTTCTTGTGTAGCATATGTTACAATAAACTTACGTTACCTTTCTTAACTTATGGACAGAATTTGATAGCTCAGATAGTATGTGACTGTTGAGTCGTTTTGGCCTTCGTGATGACTATATTCTTTTCATAGAAATTGTTGCCTTCAACACGTATACCTTTTATACTCATGCCTCTGTGGTTCTACACTTTTACATATATACTTGTATATTTGCAGACGTGTTACTTTTTCTAATGTTAGAAAAAGTTAGAAAAAACGACTCTAGACTGACCTTGAGAATGTCCATCTAATAACCAGGACCAAATGAGGGTTATAAACCTGCATGAAGAGTCGGAATTATGGTTTAGAGTTGACGATTAAGGTTATAAATTAGATTTTGGGTTTTCATTACGAACTAACATCAGCTATAATGCCAAAACTCTATTTATTTGAATGAATAAGTGAATTTCGCGCCAAATTTCAAGATCTGTCACTTTATACGTGATTGGTTCTTCCATAAATTATAGTCTTGTCGAATATTGGAGGTGTTATGTTTTTTTGTGTTTGATGGATTAATTTATTATCGTCTATGTTTGTATTATTATTGATTGTAAAATTATCTTGATTTTTCTCTACCCTGTCGAAACCTTTTACCCTGGAGTTTTATGCTGTTTGTTCGAATGGCTAATAAGTTGATTCAACTTGAATGTACTTGTTATGGGAACAAGCTGTTAGTCAGTTTTATAGAAATGGTAAAAATTCATTTTGTACGAATATTAACAGGTGCGTTAGTCTCATTACGGATAAAGAAGACCAACAGGTTGAAATGAATGGAATTTTTTTGTCAATGCTCAGGGTTAACAATCAAATTATTAGGAATGGAGGAAAGACAAAATTAAAATGTATACCGAGAGATTGAAAGTCCACCGTGATCATCCCATACCGTAGTGAAACATTGGAACGAAGTAAGAGTATCCTAAACAAACGTAACATAAGAGTATATTTTCAGGGTATTGAAACCATAAGATCAGCATTAGTGAAATTTAAGGATAGGTTTCCTTAGGAAGAACAGCAGAATGTTTTCTATGAGATCAAAAGTCATGATCGTAATGCAGCGTATGTGGGAGAAACTTCAAAACAACTGAATATGAGGTTAAAAGAACATGAAAAATGTTTGAAAATTATTCCCGAATCCTCAGTTGATTTAAAGAAACTTGAGAATAGGTCGGAGATAACGTTACAAGCTTTGGAAACAGGACACAACATCAGCTTTGAAGAGACCAAAACACTTCAGAAACGTTTTAGCATACATAAAGAAAGATTGACAACAGAAGCGGTGCATATATGGGCTCGTATGAACAGCCTGAACAGAAAGGATAGTATTCAACTAGCAACTATTTGGCAAATGTTTGTTACCAAGTAATTGAACTCTTTCCATATCGAACCTGTTTGTTTCATATGCATCGTTATTGTGACTGAAATTAATGTAGGCTACTTTATCACTACAATTATGTATTGTTCCTAGTATGGGACTCCTCAACAGTGCACATCCACGATCCTGCTCCCCACGAGATCCAAACCCAGGACCTATCGATCACGCGCGTAAGCGCTTAACCATTAGACCGCTGACCTGACATCCAACGGTCGTCCAGTGCTTTCAGGTTTTCCATGGTAGTCTAGCTTCAATTGACTCATGATTTCATTTAGTGAAATTTCTAAAATCTCCACAAATCCCCTTCTGATAAATATGTATTTGAAGATTCGCATTTTACATGCGCTTCAATGATTCAGTAACAATTTTTTCAACCTTCAAATGGCACTTTTATTTTTCCTTCACAGAAAAACAAATTAACACCAAATATCAACTATTACTAACTCAAACTTGCACACACACACACACTGTGAACTTTTTACATGATTGACATATAATTGACTCATGTTATCCTATTTACTAAAGTCAACATCTAAATGTGATTGCATAAGCACAATAAAGATTTGATTTGATTGTTAAACGCTACGTATTTCTTTGATGATTTTCGTCATTACCCTGAGGAAGTCAAAACAAGTTTGATAAATGAAACGTTAGAATTATGTTAAATTTCAATCGCTGAGTGTATCCCAAGTATAAATTTCAAACATAAAAATTCACTTTGCCTTGAACTGCATGCTGATGATTTTTTTCTAGAAAGATAATAATACCTTCTCAATTAAACCATACATCTCATAGAACATAAGGCATTCAAGCAAACAATAAAACATGTTGAATATCAAACCAAAGGTCAATGTAAACAACCTCAATCACAACAGGTTTATTTTATCAATTTTTAAAATCTTGTATTCACAAAATAGATCCTGGTCAATCTCTTTTAAGAAATGCGCTTCCTAGTACTTCATTCATAACTTTTTTGCAGATACGGATTGTAACTATAAGTGGGTTTGAATACATGAATTCCATCCTTTTCGGGATTCGTCAAGTAGATCTAAATAGATGTTGAAACTTGAAATAACTACGTAGATTTTCAAGTTCAATATTTCATTTATTAAACTCATGCTTCTAAATTAAGTATAAAGATATGTGTAAGCAATTGTATTTACGTACTATAATTGTGAGATTAATGTTCAGTATATTTCCTTCGAAATGCCTAAATAGATCCGCCATATATTTAGCAATATCGAAAGTCAACCTTTTTCAGAAGTTTACAATTATACAACCCCATTATCATCACGAATAATTGATATAAACCATTTGATTACTTCTAGTTGTGAAGTCATTCCAAATGTCAGGTGTAAAATTCAGAAATATATTTGATGTACATATATTACACTTCATACAAAAAGTGCCTCTGGTATTACTTAACCGAATTGGTGGCTAAGAAACTTTGGATCTAATGTTTATATTAATTGGGACTCGTCAGAAAGTTGTTTTTAGGATCTTGAAGTAGATGTCGGTCCTAAGAAAGTTCGAACCGACGACACACTGTCTTTTAGTATGTGCAGTTACCACTAGCCTGTTTGAATTGCAAATGAATTCTTGCATAAGTGAGATGTTTATGTTGATTTATCAATTAATGATAACAACGTTGATTCATATAATAATCAGTAACAATCGATTATGCAAATGTAAGTGATAACTGCTTAATAATCATTCGGTATAAGTGTTGTTTTCATTTAATGCCTGTACTAAGTTATTTCATGATAAAAAACAATGTCCTGACATTATTTTGCCAGTCAATTACTACCCATAGGTTTGTATTAGCAACTAATGATTGTGGATCTTGATAATAACGTTATTGAATCAAACTATTTTTCCCTTCGATCAGACAATGGTTATTTTTTAAAAACACTGAATTGAACTAGTTTATACAAAACTAAGTAGTATTAACTAACAAAGTAAAATGTACACCAACCAACTAGCATAGAATTTCGTATATTTGTCAAATAATTACATATTATTTTCGCTTTATTTATTAAATCTTCACCGTTTATTCCAGCCAAATTATTCACTGAAGAATGGTACTTTATAAAGAAGACAAATGAACACACACACACAAAATAGTGATTGTTACATATGTTTTATTCATTTCCGTTTTGACCAAGTGGTTTTAATGATGTTTTGACGTTCTACATTCTCTCCAGTTGAATGTCTTGGATTAGATTTAGCCATAGATATTTTTTTATTGCTAGTTTTAGAACCATCATTATGATAATTATAATTATCATTATCTATTTTTGAGTCTTTTGAACTGTAAGCTAACAAAAGCATACGCATTTCTTCCAAACTAATTTTCCCATCATTATTAAAATCCCAATTTTGTAAAATCATAGATCGTGTATAATCAAGATCTGATTCATCAAAATCCTGTAAGATAATGAACAAAAATTGCCAAGTGATTGTTAGTATTTTATCTGGATCACATAAATGTAATGTGTAATATGCATTCAACATGACTTCTAGAGGTTCTAGAATGATAAGGTTGAATAATGATAACTGCTTAAGATAAGAAAGCGATAATAGATATATACATATATATGTATCCAAAAGAGCTTCAAGTAAATAGTGATCGTGTCTATAGTTATATAAGAAATCTGTAAACTTAATTAAGATATCTTCTACGGTTAATTATGATACAGACTGTGAAAATGTTTGTTCCAATAGTAGTCCTACTTTAATAGAATCTATACTTGCATCAGCTTCGTCGCCATTGTTATGTTCGAGATATTACGATACCACGTAATATCACAATACTTAAGGTACCTTAATGCCCGCCAACGGAAGGCAAAATAGCAACACAATAACAGGATGAAGGTAAGCTATTTATCTGAGCCCTAGCCCTGGTAACTGAAGGAATAAGACCAGAGTCAGCAGGGAACATAAGTGATTCTACAAGCAGCCTTTATGAACGAATAACAAGCACTCAACTCGTGCATAAGATATAGAATTCGAAGTGTCCTTGAAAAACGTCACAAAATAGCGTATCAAAGGAACAAAAAAACCAATGATTTTTAAGATCTTTTCAGGTGGGAAACATAAACTGAAGGCAACAATGGACGCTTTTTGGTATAAAAATGAGAAATTAGAGCTTTCAAAATTATATTACAAAAATAAGGAGCTGATCAAGTGATTTTCAGGGATCTAGCATGCTCTATGATTTAAACTATTGGATCACGGTTCAGCAGTCACAGAATGTCAAGTGCTCACTGTGAAACCTAAAAGGCTCTTATTTTGACTCCCATTAAAATCATGGATGCTCACTGTTGAGATGCCCCAAACTAAAAGGAAACGACTGCTTTTGTTTCATATTTACTGACTGTCTGACTAAAAAAAGTCGAGAACATAAACTATAAAATCACTTATCTATTCTTACAAGTTATATATCCTTATATGGCATAATTCAAATATCTTGAAATGATTTGTTACAAATAAAGAGTTAAAACAGCTTACTTCTTCAACAAGTTCAAGAAGATCTTTTAAGAAACCATACAATTCAAGATCTTCAATGGTTCCATTTTTATCCTTTTGGAGAAAAAGGGAAAAAAGTGCTTTTTTTTTCTTAAAAAAATAAGCAAATTCTTTAAATTGGGTTCAACCCCTATTGTATCATATTTAACTGAAATTAAGATGTACTTTGATAATATGTAAACTTGGTCTCAGATCTCTTCATAAGCTGTAATCAATGTAGAATTGAATGAAAATCGGTTTAAATGCTTTAAGAATGATTAGGTTGGTGATTTAGCTGTTTATAGAACAATGCCTGAAGTAAGTGTAATTTAGAATTATAATGTGCTACAAATGATCAATCTAGATAAGTATACAACTAATAATATTGTTGAATTGCTCTATGAGTTCGTCTTTTCTTTTCAAGATTCTGGTTGACGATATTATAAGTATCGTTAATGCAACGACAATACAAGTAAGGCCTATCAATTACATTTTTCTTAAACTTCCTAATAATCAATTTGCATTCAGTTGGCTGTAATTTTTGAGAGGTTGAAGATGTATAATTAATTAATACCAGCTGAATGGTCACGAAGTGAACCATTCGTACATGAGACCGAAGATACTAGATTTCATCCCCGCATGTAAGCTTGCGAATGCGTATTGTTTAGGAGTCCCACACTAGAATAAAACGGCCGTCGATTGCTTCCAAGTTATAAATGATGATCTAAGATCAATTCATGATTTCCGCAATGAAAATACTACAATTTCCATAAATCCTTTATACTAGTAATGAATGCATCAATAAAAACATAGATTTCAATCAGGATTATGTAATAACAAATATAATAAACCAACTATATAACAAATACCTATTAGAATCTGAATCGAATTAATTCATAAAGAAGTAGAAATCATGTTCTTTATATTGTTCTTATCATCTTTCATTCTAACAGTAACTATTATTGATTGAGACCATGAACTAATTGATGTTAGACCACCGTCGGAAACCTGGAAGCACTGGAAGGTCGTTTCGTCCTATTGTGGGACTCCTCAACAGTGCGCATCCACTATCCCGCTCACGGGATTCGAACCCAGGGTTTTCAGTCTCGAGAGCGAACACTTAACCTACTGGACCACTGAGCCGGGATCCAATGGTGTTAATGTCTAACATCAACCAATCCAAGAAATAGCGCGACCATCTTCCATTGTACTGAGGTAGACACCTGTCTCTACCTGACACGGATTAGCTCCACTGGTCACGGCTTCTCACCGGAACTCCGAGAATTCCTTCACGAAGCTAGTCACTTGTGAGCACATGTTAATTATCAGTATAGGGATTGGTTGATGGTAGACATTAACACCGTTGAATGTCAGCCGGCTCAGTAGTCCAGTAGGTTAGGCGTTCGCACTCGAGACTGAAGGCCCTGGGTTCGAATCTCGCGAGCGGGATCGTGGAAGTGCACCGCTGAGGAGTCCCACGATAAGACAAAACGACCGTCCAGTACTTCCAGGTTTCCAACGGTGGTCTAACACCAATCGATTCATAATCGTAATCAAAAACTTAATAATGTCCATAACCCCTATAGTGATAATTAACTATTATGTTTGAATGATAATTATAAACAAAAATAACTTATCTGTAGTATAAATAGTTTAGCAGATTAAGTATTAGTGAAATAAAAGTATGCTTACTGTATCATATAATGCAAAAACACGATCTACATCAGCTGCCGTAATTTTACCGGCATGTTTAAATATTGGACGACATAAAAAGTTCTCTTCCACTGGTATTAAACTGTTCAATATTATAGAAAACTAAGTTATTACAAATGGGAATAAACTAAGAAATCAAACATTGTTTATGTAAATGAATATTACTTAATTAAACTTATCAATTATAGTGTACTATTAAAACTGATGAAATACAATGAGAGCATCTATAAACAATTTGGAACATATTTATATAATAATGAGCAATAGGAAGTAGTGAACAATTGATTATTGCAATAGATACAACAAAGAAAAACGCTTTCTTCATCGCTGTATTTATATGTTCTATCAATACATACAAGTGATCAAATCGTATAACCAAGTGAAAATAATGAAGTGTTAAAAAGAGAATGAAATAGTAACTTGATCTGATATAAGCGATAGGCTATTGTTATTATTATCATTATTAACGTTGATTTTCTCAAATCCACTTGATGTTGTTTATTTGTATCGTCTCATTGTTATTTATGACTGCAATTGATCAATCTCATGTTGGCATATGTGCATGCTATGCGAACTGTCTCGATATTGCCTTAATTCACAAGCTTTATAAGCAAAGATAGATAATGGCTAGCAGTCAAAATTCAGGATGTGCATTTCGTTCTATTTGGGATTTGTCAGCTGGATGTACATGCATCCCAGAGTTCATGTTCACTCTGGGCCTCAAACCCAATACCGTTCGCTTCAAACGCCATCGCGTTATCAACTTAACTAATGAGTCCTGACAGCCACCTGTTTGTGCAATGGGGCGAAGTTTTAAATTCACTTGATGTTTTTTATTTGTATCTTCCCGTTGTTATTTAGGATTGCAATTGATCAACCTCTTGTTGGCATGTGTACATCCTGTGCGAACTGTCTCGATATTGCCTTAATTCACAAATAGGACGACATGCGCATTGTGGATTCCACAGCTAGCCACTATCCGTCTCTGTTGATTTCCTTAGTTATAAATGTGGTAATACTTATTACAGTTGTCATATCTCTCGTCGCCATTGTTGTTATGAATCATATTGGTGGAGAAAACAGCAGACATTAGGGTATTGAAAATCAAACCATTGTGATCATCATTATCATCAAAACTTTCACACACAAATCAAAAGGATAAGCAACTTAGAATTCATTTTAAAATTTAATAATTACTTAAACTGGTAATCTGAACACAGCCACGAAAAATACAATAAACTATCATATAATGGTTACTCAGTCTGACACGATAATGACTACTACTGCTGACAACAATAATACTACTCACAAAAAGCAGTGCATTCAAGCATCATTTTGGTTTATCAATATAATGAACCAATCACGAGTAGCCAAATGAGACGGTCACTTGATGACAATCAGAAATGTCCTAAAGGACAAATCTATACTGTTGGATGAGACATGGATTGATTTTCTAAAGGTTAGAAACGTAAGTATGTAAAGAGTATCTATGCATGATATTCGGTAGTTCAACAGGCTTTATCATCTGTTCTTGTCCTCTCATTCAGTTTGGGGTTAGTACATATCACGTTGTGTTTCAGTAACAGATCTTGGATATCGGGCAGCACAACACAAATAAGTCTTCATCTACTGTCTTTATGCCCATACTTGTATCATCCTATTCATACTTTCCGATAGAAAGTAAAAAGTTCTTTACATGTCATGCAAACAATAGATATTTATTGTTGTTTCAATGTACAAAACATGAATCTTTAATACTTTAAAATGTATAATAATGCACAAAAGTATAAAATGAATTAAAAGTTTATTATTAGAATAGGTTTTGTGGAGATTTTTAGAAATTTCACAAGTTGAAATCATGGGTCAATTGAAGCTAGACCACCATGGAAAACCTGGAAGCACTGGACGGCCGTTTCGTCCTGGTATGGGACTCCTCAGAAGTGCGCACGCACGACCCCTCACCCCGCAGGATTCGAGCCCAGGACCTACTGGTTTGGCGCGCGAGCACTTAACCATTAGACCACTGACCCGGCCGGCATCCTACGGTGTTAATGTCTAACTTTTCCATGGTGGTCTAGCTTCAATTGACTCATGATTTCAACTTGTGGAATTAAAATTTGTTTTTCATAAAAAGAGAAAAGAAAAACTTACCGAGACATTTCACTTAGTTGTAATTTACCATCTCGATTATGATCGAATAATTTCAGCTGAAAATCAAAATATTCCAAGATGAATAAATTTGTATCACACACACACAAATTCTATTTCATAAATTCATCATTCCTCTTTTCCGGATCGATAAACATTTTTTGTTAGATGTTTCTTATGGCTTACATGCACAATTTGTTGTTTCTATTGTATCAATGTCACTTATTACTTATACTTGAAAGAACAAGGAATCACTGTATTTCCTTACCCCCACAACGCGCGAATGTGAGAAAATCAAGATTGGTAGAAGTGAAGATTTATTAAACTCAATGCACGACAAACAACTCTAGTACTGCCATTTTTGATGATTAAGTAGAATAAAATCATATCGATGAGAAATACCCCGAGTTATGAGTAAATAACATGGTGCATGTCATGCTGAGCATAGTCCATGTTCACTGAATACAAGAATATCGTACGTTGAACAAACATAACACTCAAACAACTCATCATCATCAGGCTATACTCTATTATATATGAATATTTATATGAAAATATTAAACCGTTCAAATCAACTTATGAGTCAGTGATCACCATGAAATCGATTGTATAACTAACTGTATATAATTTAATAAATGTACAGATTGATTGTAAAAAAAAAGATGAGAAAATTTGAATTCACGAGTCGAACTAAGCTACACCACTATTGAAAACCTGGAGGTACTGGATGACCATATCGTCCTTTACGGTGATCATGCACAAGTCTGCATAAAACGGACTCTAACACAGGACCTTCGGTCTCACGCGCGAACGTTTTATTTCTAGACCATTGAGCCAGCATCCAACGATGATATTGTCTGACTTTAATCGATCCATGATTTTGAGCAAACGTTCGTCCGTTATCTCAGGTGAATAACTACCTCACATCCGACACGATTTGAACTTTATTGGTCATGGCTTCTTACTAGAACTCCAGGAAATCCATCTTGAAGCTAGTTATTAGTGAACACGAAATTATTATAAGTATGAAGATTTATGGAGATTATAGTATTTTCAGTTGAATCCAGTAGTCCATCTAGCTAATAGTTCAACATAAGAAATAGGTCAAACATGGACAAATAGACTTTAAAATAATAATTGTAAAACATTATTCGAATTATGTAATAAAAAGTGTGTCAATGATTAGATAGTGAAGAATATAGATGAAAAGAAGTGAAAAAATTACAAATAAATATAGGATATGTACAAAAATCGTTTGTTAAATCATATCCGACCGAGATAGGAATAAGAATATAACAAAGTTCTTCGGGACACGTAATGGGAACCTCAGTAATAGTTTATTTCAAACAAGATTAGATAGAGGAAAATAACGCAGATTTACTAGTTCAAATGTCCATTAAAAATATAAAAAAATCATTTCAAAATTCAATCGACTTATAATGTACAATCTATAAACAAATACTGATCATGGGTTGTTTATTTACTGTATGAAAATATTTCTAAAACTTTATACTACTTATATTACTTCTTTTAGCGAGTTATTTTTCTACGGGATGGGGTCATTAACCATCCTCCTTGGGACCGACAGTATCCCCCGAGGGGCTCCAGGCGCAGATATTACTTCTAATACTACTCAATTAACATTGAGAAACGAACCGTAAGTCATGTATAATATAACACCATCTAGTAAATACCATATTCCATAATATGAAAGAATGATATTACGTAAAGGAAACAGAAAAAAACTGTCTTTTTATTGACTTACAATTGTATCAGTGTATTCAATAATCTTTTCATCAAATTTTTCATCATCTTTATGTATTCCAAATGATAGAAGTTCTGTCAGAAAATCCTTCAAATTAAATAATTAAGTAGAATAATTAAAACGAGTAAATATTTTCGTTGTCAAAACAAAATTTAAAAAATCAGAGAGGGGTTTTATGAATATTATAGTAATTTAGTAGTTGAATTCATGAGTCAATGGAAGCTAGACTATTATGGAAAATCTGAAAGCACTGGATGACCGTTTCATCTTAATATGGAACTTCTCAGCAGTGTGTATCCCACCTCGAGAGATTTGAAACCAGGAACTGTCAGTCTTGCATACGAACGCTTAACCTCTGTACCACTGAAATTTGATAAAAACTTTCAAATCTCAGAATAGATTAACAATTATTCTTTTAAAGATTGTATATGGTTACCACTTGAACCTATCCATTCAATTTAAGAATGTAACTTTCAATTTTCAACAGAAATAAACAGTGATGGATTGCCCTGATTAAATAAAGGTAATCCAGTCAATATTAATCTAACAATTATATTCTATCTTGGAGCTTCATTGGATTATCTGACTAATAGAGTTAGTTCATAAACATATCTATACATTGTCCATAGATACAATCACTGTGGTATAAAGAAATTAGTATAAAAAATAGCTTCAGAAATATCTGACTAATTACAGCTCCAAGTAGAATATATCGATTTTTATATCCATCTTCTAAAAAAATCTTCAGCACTGACCAACCAGAATTGTGTTATCAGATTTGATAAGTAAGTTATAGCTCTTTATAGATTAGTGGTTATTTGCCTGTAACCGTTGTATTCACGAGTCGATCTTAGCTAGACCATTATTGAAAACCTGGAAGCACTGATAACTTCAATCGATCCATTATTTACTTTTGTTTAGTCTTTGCAATGTTCACGGTATATAGAGTTAAGTTGAGAAAAATTAAGCCAAAAAGCAGTTAGTCATGCTATAAATCATGTGTGAATGTCAATCTACTATTCGATATATATTAATACACCAATGGTTACATAACCATGAACTATTCTGTCTTATAGTGTTCTTCTAGATGAATAATGTTTTGATAAATGTAGATCTCAATTTCACAGAAAGTATTTGTTTCCTTAAGTCTGTGGATACACTTTATTAATGATTGCCAATAAGCAAATAATCTGGGATAAAACACAAATGATTACAATGCAACTTATAGAATTCAATCAAACAAATAAATGATCGATTATTATTCGGTCTGTTAGAGAATGTTGGTCGGTGGCCTATCATCCATTGGGGGTCTCAGGCGTAAGTAAGTAAGTAAGTAGGTAATACTCACTTTTAATTCATCTGCTTCAATAAATCCACTATGATCTTTATCGAATTCTCGCCATACCTAATTAATAACAGTATAAAAATTAATAATAGTTAAGCTTTTCAAACACTTTACATAGTAAAGAAATAAGAGTGAGTCAAATAAATGAGTTTAATGTTCTGAAATTGATTTTATTTGCAATTATGGTGTAGAAGTAGGTCGGAGGAAAGCTAGGGGCCGCCAGACCAAAAACACGGCACAAATCCATGAAGTCACTGACAAGTGGACTGAACCATCTTGGTAAGTGTATACTACCTGATTGGGGTCTGTGAGGTGATAACAACCGATGGTTAGAGACTCTGAATGACATGGCTCAAAATCGTTTGCAATGGTGTGTTCAGGTGCGTACACTCTTTATGTTCTCTCAAATTCTAATCTTCTGAATTCTTCATGTCCCGTATTTTTCCTCTTTCTAAATTTGTTTCACTGTATTATACTCTTTGAATAACACCTTCAAACCCTAATCTTTCCGATTATTGCTTATACTTTTACTACCTGTACCACTATGGGATTTGAATCGACAACTGCATCTCTGTGCTAATTTGGTATGGCAACTTCAACTGATGTACGCACGTACGAACGTCTACGTTGTTACTGACTGACTGCAACTACAAATCCTAGGTCAACAACTTCTTAATGAGACCTTAAATTCGATAATTATCTTATTGTTGTTCATTTATAATGAAAACTATATTTCAATTTAAGATGTTTATTAGATCGAAATCATGTAAGTGTAACTAAACAGTATGATTCTGAAAGTAATCACTAACAATTCACTGTTGCCGTAATATGCGTCTATCAGTTTACGCATTATTATTATTAGATTTATTCAATATTATATATTTGATACAATATAGAATAATTTTCAGTACAAAGCATTTCAACAATTTTCCTTTTCTTATCTCTTGATCAATCCTGACGACAAATATTGAGTGATCATCAGCTAAAAGTTAACAGTTCAGAAATCGACATTCTTTCAATGCATATTGTCAGTAACCACCATGTCTCTGATTGCGTTCTTTTGTAACTAGTACAGCGAAAATAAAGATAGACATGAGTAAAATAAACAAGAATTGGATGGAACTAGAAAAGAAGGCCCAGAACAGAAAGGGTTGAAGAATACCGGTCAATGGCCTATGCTCCATTAGGAGTAATAGGCGTAAGTAAGTAAGTAAGTAAGTAATTAAGTAACATCGAAATGTCATAAGCATAGGTTATACGATTAATAAACATAATGATGTGTTAAAACAAATAAAAGAAACAACTGATTTGTTTAAATATCTAGATGACAAGAATAGGTAACCAAAAACTCTTATAATAATTCATAATCAGTATATTTTTCATTTCAACTTACTAACATATTCATTTCAAATTATTTACTACTAAGCTATAGTGTGTTAGATACTACTGAATAAGACAAAGAAGTAGACTTTACAAATAACACCTACACACCTTATTCCATGAAAGTAGATGAATCAGCAAATGTCCACTAAATTATATAAAACTTACATGTGAATATTACATCACATAGAAAAAAAAAACGAAACAATACACATAATCATTTGTGATTACAATAAGTACCATATGACAACAAGTCAATATATTATTCTCATTAAAATTACATCATTACACTCATATTGTTACTAACATTATTTAATAATTTAAATAATCTTGTAGTCATAGAAATCTTCTTATAAACATAAGATAATCATTTAAACACACTTACTTTGTTTAAACAAGAAAAATAGAGAAAAGAAAAAAAAAAGGAACTTATTGAACATTGGAATGTAACTAATATTAAAACTGTTTTGTAACGAAATGATTCTCCTTTCCTGATGCCTATTACACTTCTTTATTATTATTTTTTTTTTCAAGTGAAAAGGATGATTTCGTTTTTGTTTTGTGAGGAGGAGGAGAGATGGTGGCAGGGGCAAGAACGGGTACTGATCTAAACAAGATAAACGGGACAATATGTTTTTTTTCCTTAAATATTCATTTAATGATTAATTAAGTAGATATGGTTTTTGTTAAATGATACATTATGATAAATTAACTAATAAAAGATAAATAAGCCCCTTTAAAGAAATAATAATAACCGTAGTAATAATAGAGAAGATTAGGGTTACACTTTATAATGAAATAATCTATAATTAGAATGTATAATGATTATGTAACATTAGTTTGTTGTACAAATGATATTAATTAAAACACTGAGATGCTTCCATTTATATATATCAACAAACATACACAAATATATACAAAATATGAAGGTGTAGAAAAAGGTTATATGGATAAAAGAGAGTTATCTAGTTCCTTTTTCTTTTTTCTGTTTTTTAACTAGATGAATGTTCATTTACTTACTTACTTACTTACTTGCTTACTTGCTTACTTGCTTACTTACTTGCTTACTTACTTGCGGCCTGCTTGATCATCTGGGCTACCTATTCCTGTCATCTAGATATTTCAACAAGTTATATATTTTTGTTTGTTTTAATATATCATTATGTTTATTAATCGCATAACCTATTCTGCTGCGTTTCTGAAAAGTGTACAACCTTTCGTTGTCAAAGTTACAAAAAACTCAATAAGAGACAATGTGGTTGCTGGAACTATACAACGGAAAGAATGCACAATATTCAGATGTTCATTTAGTGAACTGCTAACATCTAACTGGCGATCACTCAATATTTATCGCCAGGACCGACGAAGAAGAAAGAAACGGAAACTTGTTGAAATACTTTACGCTGAGAATTCTATATTGTACCAAAAATATAATATCGAATAAAGCTGATAATAATAAAAAAAATAAAAATAAATACTTACTTACTTGCTTGCTTGCTTACTTACTTACTTACTTACTTACTTACTTACTTACTTACTTACTTACTTACTTACTTACTTACTTACTTACTCACTTACTTACTTACTTACTTACTTACTTACTTACTTACTTACTTACTTACTTACTTACTTACTCACTTACTTACTTACTTACTTACTTACTTACTTACTTACTTGCTTGCTTGCTTACTTACTTACTTACTTACTTACTTACTTACTTACTTACTAAAATATGCCTGTTACTCCCAATGAAGCATAGGCCGCCGACCAGCGTTCTCCAACCCACTCTGTCCTGGGCCTTCCTTTCCAGTTCTATCCAATGTTTTTTTTCTCATTTTTCTTATGTCTGTCTCCATTTCTCGGTGTAATGTGTTCATAGATTATTCTGAGTTAATAATCTTGTACTCAATAGTAATTAGCTTCAAAATTCAATTCCTAAAGTTCTAGTGTGAAGTCATGACCAATGGAGTTTAGTAGTTATCTATTAAAGGTAATGGCAGATGACTTCGGAATATCATAAATTGATTAATGTTAGGCATTAATACAATCGGAAAACAGTTTGTCAATATAAAAGTTAGGTGTTTACAATCGAGATCTGAAGTTTATGGGATTGATTTCTGGTTACAAGGGTTGTATATACTCGTTGCTAATGAGTCCATACTAGGACGAAACAGATTATCAGTGATTAAAAGTTTTTAATGACAGTTTGGCTACGATAGATTTGTGGTGAAGACTATAGGAAGATCTAGATTTATTCATATTTCTTTGTGAAATGTGTAATTATATTGTAAAAAATAAGACTATATTGAATATTAAGTTATTTAGCAAGAATCGTTTTTCTTTTTAAAAGTTTGCGTCTTCTGGTTGGTTTCCTATTAACGTCATAGTTTCTATGGACATTCAAGTCAAGAATAAACAAATTGTGCAACAAATATGTACATAACCTGATAATTTTGTTGTCTTTTCAGTATAGGATTGTAGAGATTATTGAATTCCGTTGAAATCATGAACCGATCATTGTTAGACTACCATTGAAAACCTAAAAGAACAGGATGACCGTTTCATCGTAGTATAAAACTCATCAATAGCGCACATCTGCGATCATATACCCAGAATCTTTAGTCTTGTTCAAACACCTAACCTATGATAACAAACCTAGAAATTGTATTTTTTTAGTTAGTTGTATGCATAAAAAATGAACTAGGCAATATTACAACAATATAGATGATAAGAAAGGTTTTATCAGATATACGAAACAATCTTTCACACTTCATTTAATTTATTGTCAATCTCATCTCTTTAAATTGTTTTGTACTTGAAAATTTTCGTTACATTTATCTTTATTTTCAGAAGAGGTTTGTGGAGATTTTTAGAAATTTCACAGATTGAAATCATGAATCAATTTAAGCTGGACCACCATGGAAAACCTGGAAGCACTAGACGGCCGCATCGTCCTAATATGGGACTCCTCAGAGGTGCGGATCCACAGTCCCGCACCCCGCGAGATTCGAACGTAGGACCTATCAGTTTCGCGCCAGGCGCTTAACCAAATAGACCAATGAGCTGGCATCCAATGGTGTTGATGTCTAACTTCAACCAATCCACGAAGTTGCACCAACGTACACCATTGTCTTCAGTGAGTTAATATCTCACAAAAGACCTAGTTGAACTCCACTGATAGGTCGTCTCATTTCAGATTTCTAGTTGATATATCAGATTGAAAAAAACGACTTTTAAGCATCTTAACAAATATATCACATATCCTATTACTAATAAACAAAAGAGTTATCAGAAGGGGTTTTGCGGAGATTTTTAGCAACTTCAACAATTGAAATCATGAATCGATCGAAGCTGGCTAGTTGGAGTTGTACATTAACACCGTTGGATGTCGGCTCAGTGATCTAGTGATTAAAGGCACTAGCGCGAGACTGATAAGTCCCGGGTTCGAATCTCGTGGGGTGCGGGATGGTGAATGTACACTGCTGAAGGGTCCTATATTATGACAAAACGACCGTTCAGTGCTTCCAGGTTTCCCATTGTGATCTAGCTTCAATTGACTCGTGATTTCAATCTGCGAAATTATCTTTATTTGCCAGATTCAAATTATTGATTTTCCTTTTTTTTCTTTTTCTTTCTTTTTTTTTTACCAAGAAATGTTGTTTTCATATTTGTTCTGTAATTTCTTTATTATCTTTAGTTTATTAAAATTCTTTAGAATTTCACGGTTAAATGATACTTCATTTGACAAAAATATCATAAACAACACATAGTGTGTTGTTAATGTCAGTTAGACAGTTAATTGTTCTTATCAGTGAAAATCATTCAACTTAAACGATAGAATTCATTCAGGACACTTGTAAGGTGTAATAATAATAATAATAATAATAATGGTAATGATAATGTCTATAGTTATCAACTAATCATATGATGAACAATGTTTATTTAGTCATTTGTGTTGTAGGTATTTGCCTTTTTTTTTAAACAAAACGAAAAAAAATACAGAATGATTTATTATCGTTTGATACAATCTTAGACTGAAATGACATTTCAGTTTTATCCATCAGATTAAACACACTAATAGTGGAATGAAGAACATTCTCTTCAATAAATTCTATTTCGCTTTAGTTATATGTCTAAATTAATAATACAAAAGTTGGCCAGATTTGTGGTATGTATTTGATTGAGATCATGAATTGATCGATATTAGATCAATATCGAAAACCTGGAAGAACTGGATGATCGTTTCGTCCTAGTGTGGGATTCCTCAGCACTGTACATTTACAATCTCACACTTAGAATTCCAACTCAGGACCTTTGGTCTCACGCGCGAACGCTTTGACTTATTATAATCATTATTATTGTTTCCACATCACTATCAATCTTCTGAATATATGAATAGTTTAGTCAGTATTTATCCCACTTTATTAGTTCTAACTGAATTCATGTCACTTTAAATACAATATAGTCAGATTTGTGAATACATTTTATTTCTCTCTTTCACCATATGTTACCTTCATTTATTCTAATTATTAATCTCACAGTTTGACTTTACATACAAAACGTATACAAGTTAACATTGCTTGTTAGCTATTTCAAAATACACACAATTTTAATACATGTATTGGCTATTTGTTCAGTTGATGAGTTTCAATTAGAACGAAACGCGCGTCATGAATTCCACTGCTATCTCTCCTTATAAACAGGTTTTGGGTTCAAGCCACACGTGTAGGATTGTGGATGCACACTGTCGAGGTGTCCCATACTATGACGAAGCTGCCATCTAATGTTTCCAGGCATTCGATGATGGTCCAACTTAGATTGACGGTGTGATTTACAACCTCTTGATTCCAAACATTATTGTCAAATCGTTTTTTTTTCAAACTAGTTTCATGGATCACCATTATGCAAGTATTTCTCTTATCAATCTTCAGTGAAACTATTTACAATATGTTATGTATGTGAGCAGTAGTTTTGGACTGTAGATTTTCAAAAACTGAATGAACGATAATGTATGTGTAACTATATTGATGATTTCTAGTTTTTGGTAGTTTGACAGATGTAATCAGTTTTTGACATGAAAACTAACTTGAATATACACAAATAATACAGCTGATTAAATGTACGTGATAAATATACACATTTTAAAGTTGTATTCATCAGAGTTCGGTCACAGTAGATGTACCACTGTGAACTACGTAACACTATATTGATATTCTGACTTAGTATGGGATTTCTTAATATCGCGCACACTGAGTTAGCTGTAAAACCTGAATACCGTGGGTTTGGTCCCTTGGGTGGGGTAACCACTGAGAAGTTCATTGCTAAGATAAAACGGTTGTTCTGAGCACCAGTTCGTAAAGAATGAAGCTCAAACGTTATTTCCAATTTCTGCCACGCATCATCAACTAATTTATGCAAATCATGTTACTGAATAGATTAGTTTATTATGAAAATCATTTTCGTCACAAAGTCCTATGCTTTCAAGTCAAAGACTGTTCAATGTTAATTAGTTTACCACCATCTACTGTACATTCAATTAATCTCTACAACTAACTTAGCTAGATAAATAATTCTCTCCAAGAGTCGAGTGAGAACTCGTTTCGTTTTGGAATCCAACTCTACCCGTATTGTAACAGTTATCACTAAATGAATAAAATTAGAATTACGATTCACTTTATTGTAATTCATTGATAACACATTCGTTTCCATTCATGATAGTCATAAGTGGTAGTGTTTTAGGTGAGTATTCTTGAAAAAATATCGAATCAGGACAAAACAGCCCTAAAGTGATCTTCCGTTATCATAGGGTTTTCAGCTAATAACAAATTTTAATGATGACCCATCAAGATGATGTTATATTTTTGTACTCCTTATGTTCTTTGGAAAAACAAGAGGCGATTGTATAGGAATTTATGTATCATAAATATTATACAATAAGATAAGACATCATAAAGGGAAGCCTAATTAAAAACGTTTTGAAATGAACATGAAAGGTAGGAAACTAGCGCTGAAAAATATACTTTATATACATATATATGTTAAATAATAACAACGTAAGCGGATATTAAACGGGAATAATTTCGCAATATTTCATCTTTTTCTTAGATTTTTTTCGCTACATTCCAACATATGCGAATGAACAAAGGGGTTAGTCTCATTGTTTTTCATGTGGTAAACTCGCTTATATAGTGAAAACTATATGTACACTAAAAACAATACATATGATTATGAACTCAAAAGAAAACACAAATCTCTGATGATACTGATACTTTTAACTTCGACAGTCTAATTAAAATGTACCCAGTAGCATTACATATAAAAAACATCAACTCAGCACGTCTGTATATGTAGCATAAATTTCGTACAAAATTTAGAAATTCTGAAAGTACACTGTCCACAACTTGGTTTTTCTCATTTCATTAGTATCTAGTATGTAACATATTGAACAATGAATATGGTTAATTATCCGCTCACACTAAGGTGTGCCCATGAAGATAGTCAATATCATACGGAATTCCTTTGATAATGGATTAAACTGCAAAATTGTGCATGGAGGATAGCTCACAGACTCGTTCGAAGTAAAGACCGGGGTCAAGCAAGGTTGCTTAACCTCACCTTTTCTCCTGGTCATAATCCAGATGCTACAAGTGTTTACTAACAGTTGTCTACGCAAAATACTTCGGATCCATTGACCAGATACTATCAGCAACACTATCAGAGAAAAAACCAGGTTCCAGCGGAGGAAGAAATCAGGAAGAAGGGCTGTAAGCGGATAGGACACATTGAGGAAAGCACCCAACTGTGTCACAAGTCAAGCCCTCACTTGGAATCCTCAATGCCAAAGAAAAAAAGGAAGATCAAAGAACATATCACATCGAGAAATGGAGACAGACATGAGAAGAATGAACAATATTTGGATAGGACTAGAAAGAAAGATCCAGGACAAAGTGGATTGTAAAATGCTGATAGGTTGCCAATGCTTCCCTGGGAGTAACAGGCGTAAGTAAGTAAGTAATCCACTCATTGTTCAATTAGATGAATATGTATTTATATGTACAAAACGGAAGATTATTCTATCAATATCAGTAGAGTAAAAAAATTACACTTACATTTGAAAGGTCACTTTTTTCTTTACATAACATTATAATAAGTAACTTACTTTCATAAAATCAACACTGGAATTTAGCTTATTTTCTCGTTGAAATAAAATTAAAAATTCCTCATCAGTTGGAAGTAATTGAGCCAGCTAATACATAAATGAGAATAAATAAATAAAAAATAAACAAGGAAAAAAATTAAATAAACAACGATAGAAGTAATAGGAAGTAAATGTGTAAACCATCGGATAAGGTTAAGCTCTCTTCACAAGAACTGGATGCCCGTGGTTCGATTCGTGGGGAGGGGCATGGATACACTACTGAGGAGTGCCTTACTAGGACGAAATAGTTTCTTAGTATTTCCTAGTCCTTAATGGTCAACTAACTTACATACATATATTTATTTGTTCATTTCATCATACTGTTTATTATCAGTACGTTTACAATTTTTACCGTTTTTTTACTGCTAATATTTACATTTAGTTGATCACTGAGTAAGAAACAGCGTATGGTTTGTCCGGTCCTTCAAGTCCTAATCCAATCTTATGGATCAGGTTGTAATGTGGCCAAATAAGTGACTTAACATTGAGTGTACTACACTGAAATGTTAGACAGTTGAAAGTAGTCGATAGTAATCGATCAGTATTAAAGTAATTAGATATACATGACCACCACTAGCTGCAACCATCTGACACATTTTATGATTGGTAATTTCATCCTCTTTTTCATTTAATATTAATGACATACAAATCACCACGATTAAGTTGACATTTCTCTTATAAAAATATATATTCTTTAAAAGAAGAGTAAAGATCCAATGCAAGACAGTACTAGTAGTAACTTATCGTTGAGGTATCTATCAAAAGCATTTCATGAAATTGATGTAAGGGGGTTTGTCGAGATTACAGAATTTTCACAGTTTAATTCAAGAACTTATATTAGCTCGGATACAGCTAAAAACTTAGGGCACTGGATAGGAATTTCGTCCTAATATGTGATTACTCAGCAGCACACACTTGCGCCTAACCGAGGATTGATTCCAGGACTTATGGCCTTGCGATTAGCACTTGATGTTGAGACCATTACATCGTAAACCGATATTTTGCATTTCTAACTTTAACCAGTTGGCAACATTGCCCAATCATATATTGCACTTGATGCATAAATATCTCACACTGGTCATTGTTGAACTCCTCTAGTCATAGCCTCTTACTAGAACTTAAGGAATTATATTTCAAATTTAACCACAAGTAAACACATGATTAGTAACTGTAGTGGGAATTTATGGAGATGGTTGAATTTTCATAGCTTCCGACACTTACTTATCTTAGTTAGACAAGCCTATGTATGGTTAATAACTTGGGTGAATAATAGCGTTTCTTCATTGAAATACCACTACTCCGTTCAGCTCCCGAGTGAATTTCTTCCATTGTTCTAAAATGTTCTTAGTCTACAGAAATAAAATTTGAAGTTGGTGTGCGTTGAATATGCACTGATGTCAGTTAAGGAACCACTAAAAATTCCACTGCAAAGATGATGATCATTCAGCATTATGAATTGCTTAACGTCTAGACCATTACGAGTCATATGATTTCAAATTTGTCATTCAAAGATACCATGGTCATCGTAAACATTAAAGTTCTTATGTTTGATTCCATAAGGAATGTTATGTATTCGATATTTAACAATTCGTAAATTAAGACGATACAGTATTTTAGTGTTCCTTCGTTTTCCGTTAATATTTATTAGTAATATAAATCCGACATCAAATCACAAAGAATGTGTTCACAGCTGAGGAGTCCCGTACTAAGACAAAACCTCTATCCAGTGCTTCCTGGATTCTAATGGTAACCCAACTGATATCAATGTGCGATGAATAGATTCGACAAATATGAACATAATATAGAAGGACAAGATTGACTAAATAATCATTGAGACTAGTTGGATTTAGTCTTTCATAAAACTATTGTAAAATGCGTAAATAAACAAGAGAAGTGTGTATTTATTGTGAGAAGTTACAAAGTATTTGCACAATTCTTCTACATAACCCTCTGCATTATGAACTGTTTTCGCGACTAGCTTCAACACGAAGTTCCTGGAGTTCTAGTGAGATTTCGTGACCAAAAGAGTCTGATCCATGCTGAGTTCAAGAAAGTTATCCAAATCAGACAATGGATGAAGGATTGCGCAATATCGTGAATTGGTTGAATTTAGACATTAATACCTTCGGATACAGCTTCAGTGGTCTGGAGGTTAAGCGTTCATTTACGAGACCGAATGTCCTGGGTTCGAGTCCCGCATGCGGGACCATGGATGCGCACTGAGGAGTCTTATACTAGGGTGAAACTGCCGTCTAGTGCTTCCAGGTTTTCGATGATTATCTAGCTTAAATCGATTCTTAAATTCGACCTTATATTATTTACCGAACAAGTTATAAATAACTATGAATCAATAATTTGCATGGTGTTGAACTTAACGTGACGTCTGATATTTGAACGCTTGAAACTGTTTTTCTAGTTACTTAACTGTCTCCTAGAAATCTCCTGCTCTTGAACTATGAATGAAAGATAACGGTACGTGAGTCGAAAGAGAGTTTAACGTTCAAGGTTAATTAAGATACAGAAAACAAGGGTATTTTAAGATTTATCGATGACCTCGTTATTTCGGGTGCTCTCATAAATATGTTAAAATCACTTGTAGAACCAGTGACTACCCAGTGAAAATATGACATAATAGACTGTTTTTCTGGAAAGTCTGAGATCTATTTGAAGGACTATTTTTAGACGTTCACCGACTTCAAAAGACTTTTGCAAGGAATTCTTGTAGATTCTTAACAACCAAAAAAATCGCTATATTACTCGACAGTATAGAAAAATAAAGATAAACAAAGGAACAAAATAACACTCAATACCAACACAGCACAACTACCTAAATATAAACGATAATCATGCATTAACTAATGGTTCAATTCTATTTATGGATCCCAATTATCGAACTGATAAAAAAATGGTTAGTGGAGTTAAAACTGATCAATCACTGAACACTGATTAGTTCCATGTATTACAAGTCATTCTTTATATTGATCAGTAATATCATTCTCCCAATTTAAGAATTGAATGTTCTACATTTAAATACTCAAATAATCATAGATTATTACTTTTTGAAGAATCATATACCTAAAATGATTATAAATGTTTAATGCCCCCCTCCCTGTTTTTCTTAACACTTAGTAAACAATAATGATTTGTAATTTCAATGGTTAAGATCATGAGTCAATTGAAGCTAGATCACCATGGAAAACCTGAAAGCACTGGACGGCCGCTTCGTCCTAGTATGGGACTCCTCAGCAGTGTGCATCCACGACCTCGCCCCCTGCGAGATTCAAACCCAGGATCTACTGGTTTCGCGCTCGAGCATTTAACCAACTAGGCCACTGAGCTGGCATCCGACGGTGTTAATGTCTAACTTCAACTAATCCACGAAATTGAGCGACACATCCACTATTGTCTTCAGTGAGTTACCATCTCACAACAAACCTGGTTGAACTCCACTGGTCACTACTTCTCACTAGAACTGTAGGATATAGCTTTTGAAGCCAGTCACTAATGAACATATGTGGTCTGGCTTCAAATGATTCATAATCTTAACCATTAAAATTACTATCATATCCATAAAACCCATCTGATATTAATAATGATTTATATTGAAAACTAATTCAAACTTTTAATTGATTATGAAACATTTTAACTAACTGATCATTGATAATCATTATGCCAAAGAAAAAAAATATAGAGGAAAAAAAGTTTATACCAAACATAATTTGATGCATATCATTCTAATTAAATCAATTCTAATGGTATAGTTTAATGTTTTACATGGAAACAAGAGGGGAAAAAAAGAAGGAAAGATACATTTCACATTTTATTTTGTATACTCTCATTAAGTATGATGTTAATATTAAAAATGATACCAGGAAATGGGAATTAATCAAACGGATTTCTGTCGCCAGAAAAATAATCTCTAACAATAATAATAATAGTAATAATGGATATATATTGGTATAAGATACATTGCAGGGATGCTAAATACAATCAGATTAGATTAACTAATATTCAATATTACCTTTTTAAAATGAATGAGATTTAATTTTTAGAGAGACATTTTATTATTCTATACGAGATAATAATAATAATCAGTATTCAATTATTCTGTTAACTGATCTTAGTTAGAAGAAGAAAAACAAACAAACAAACAATGAAAACTAGAAAGTACTGGATGATAGTATAGGACTCATTCATAAGTACTATTGATCGAATACAAATCTTTAAGTTATCAAAGTTTACTGAAACTTTAAACTATTGAAATGGTATTCAATGATCTATGCAATATGTAACTTCAATCGATTCGTGATATTGTTTAGCCATTTCTTGATGGTATTGATGAATTGTGATGTGTGCTACTGATGTCGATAGATATAAGTAGTATGTGTCATCAATGGAAAGTGAAATATTTAATGGCAGAAGGTTAAGAAGATCAAAGAAAAGAGAAAGAGAACGAAGAATGATTGGTGTAGAACAATGAAGTCTGAGACGATTGACTGATATTTTGCAAATGAAGTATTTAATGTATGATTCTCAGATTATATTAAGATGTTCTGTAATTTTATGTCCAACTGCATCCAATCGTCCTCACTTATTCACTACTGGATAACTATCTAACATCTAATATGTCACCACACCTTCTCGTAAGAACTACCATGATTATCTCCAAAAACTATTCATTAGTTGACACATATAAATCAATTAGTAAAGGGTATTTGTTGATATCCTTGAGTTGTTTTAGCTACGTTAAATAGCATTAGTATTGATCAAATTCATAGCCTATTCTCAAAAACATCTAAGCGATTACTGTGTTCATTAATGACTGTATTTACCAAATATTCCTAAACCTCCGGTAAGAATTCATGAGCGGTCGTGTCTTAACACATCGGTCGTGAGACAGATATTTCAGGTTGGTAATAAATGATATCTGTACAATTTCACAACTCTCCATTAGTCCCTGTGCTATGTCCCGATAAGCATAATGAATGGTAACTTTTGTGACCCATTTATGGACCAATACTATGCGTATATTTTTATCGTATAATTGT